AACTATATTGCTCACAAATGCTCAACTGGATCCCTACATTGACCCCACACCTTACCATACAGTTGAGTTCTAGCCAATAGGCAGGAGCAATACATATCCTGTCTTTGTCAAAACATAAGAGTTAGCTTGTGACCCTCCAAGTGTCTCTCTCCCAACTGTGTCACCCCAAATAGTAGAATTTCAGCCAATGTGGGTCCCTGCATGTCCACATGGAGTAGATTGTCCAGTCCTGCATGGAGCACACAGCATAGAAAGTGATAGAAGTGCCTACCTCCAGGTAAGTTCTGAGATTCCATGGTTGGTTCTGGCTCATTCCTAATATCAACTACTTCTGGCTCTTGCCTCAAAATAGCTTCTGCTCCTCAAAGAGGTAAAAACATTTCCCAACATGTCCTTCTGGAACTGTTCAGTCTGCCTTTCTTAGACTTTAGTCTGCTGGCATTTTTTATAGGTATGGAATGGTAGATGAATAGTACCTTTTAGGTAAATATGTGCCCCCATGGACAGATAATTGCCCAAAGTGCACTGTTAAGTCACCTTCCTTATTTGAAATCAACCACCCTTTAATGGAAAACTTGCCCCACCCTAAGGTACCCTCTTGTGGACCGTGCTTTTGTGATGGCTGCACTCATTGGACTAGAAGTGCTGAGAGGGTCAGCATGTCTAAAGGAGTTTTTGTCTGGTCACTCCATTACCCTGATGGACAGGAACCTTGTTCCAAGACAACATGTTCCAGAAGCTCTGGAAACCTTACAGTGAACATACACCTGTCAAGACTCACAGGCAACAAAGGCTTCCTGAGAAAGGCCAAAGGGGTGTACCAACCCCATCTGATGAGCAAAACTAGAGAGAAGATGAGCACTGGGGTGGAAAAGCCTCTACAACTTTGGCAAAAGCCCACCAGCATCAGCCGTGGAAATCTAAATCCAAGCCCAGGATCAAGACACAACACCCTTAGAGCCACAGCAGCACTGAGGCCATTGAGCTGGAAAACCTCAGCTCGGATCTTGATGCTGCCCAGGGTCTGACTGCAGTCCACCAAGGATGCTAGTCAGGGGAAGGGCAGATGCCACTTCAGTCACTTGTCCTGCAACAGTGGAAGTCCCAAGCCAGTGTCCGTCGCTGCATGGAGTGCTCCATTCTCCCAGATCAGGTACATCTTCTCTCTGAGGCCCTGGCTCTTCCCGCTGCAGTGGGAAAGCGGGAAAGCCCGTCGTGAAAGAAGTGACAGGAACAACAGAGCAGAAGGACTCAGTCTCCTAAAACACTAGCCTGGCGTAAAAAGTGTCATTGTATAAACAAGTCTGTATTCCTAATTACTCACACTGCATTTGTCCCCTCACTTTGACATTCAGTTGACTTCTGTTTCACTGTAGCAGACTAAAGAGTGTATAACTCCCACTAAAAATGAGAAAATAAATCAGGAAATGAGGCCATACTTCCCAAGGCTCTGCAAATACAGCCTTAAGGAGGCTTCATGATGCAGACCCAAGGCATTATGGGAGGGAACACAGTCTGGGTCTGAAGCAGGCGTCCCTGGGAGCCTCTGCCTACGCTCCCTCCCCCTTGAAATTCTGCAGCTTTATTCTTATTCCCACCAGCACCAGTGATGATGAAACAGCTTCAGAGAGGCCCCGATTCCCTTCATCCACCCACCCTTACCCCTGCAGCAGCACCTCCTGCCAGTGGTCCAGCTAGAATATTGTACAATCAGGACCCACCCAGTGCCTGATCGCTAAGTAGACATCCAGGACCCTGGACAGCTGACAAGACACACATAGCCAATCAATAATCTGTCTCTGCCATGTCCCACTGAGGACTAATACAGGAACTTTTCCAGCACCCTGGTCATCTGTCACCCCAGTATCCAAAAAAACCTCTAAAGATGAGGGCTGCTGCCAGCTTTTAAAGTGGGCTGTGATGAGACCCAAACTGCGTTTTAGAGATGGCTTTCTGGGAAAGGGCTTGGCCTACTTGAGGTCTTGGGAGGCAAGGCCTCTGGAAAGTGCCACAGTTGGTTGTCAGGAGGTTTAGATTCAAATCCCAGCTCTGATTGGCCAGCAGTGTGACCTTAGACAACCTATCCACCATCTCCCAATACCAGCTGTTTCTGACAAGGGCAGAAAATCCGCCTGCCAGGCATACGGTGTAACCAGGTGTGCCGTACCTGGAAGCCTAGTGTCGGTCAAAGGCAGCATCGCGTTAGTGTCAGCTTCCACTTGGTGGTGGATGCTCCCCACAGTCATGCTACTTGACGTCCGAGTGGTCCAAGGTATGGGGTATAGACAACAAGAAACCCCCGCTTTCCCCACTTCTCAGAACTCCAGCTCCCTTCCTGCTGACTCTGCAAAGAACACTTCAGCCCTGAGGACAGGGTGCTGGGCAAACTCTTCAGCAAGTCCTGACTCTGGGACAGACTAGCAGGTGGGCTAACTTCTCTGAAGTCAGTCCATGCTCTGACTTAGAGCCCAGGTGTAGTGCCCTGTCTATGATCCCCTTGCCCCGGGAGACGTCTGTAGTGCTCTGTAAACTGGCTTTCCTCAGGCCCTGGTAATCACAGACAGGTGACTGCACACTTCGTCAGCTAAAGCTGGAGACTCTGCAGCAGATCTTCATTAACCTCAGCCACAGGATGTGACCCAAATCAAGCACTCGGGACCTGAGGAGGTTGGCAGTGACAGGCCAGTGATGTGGCCAGAACCTGCATGCAGACCCAGCCAGGACTGGGGTCCCAAAGCCCAAAAGCAAGGTGTTGCAACTATGTCCCTCTGCCAGGGAAAGGAGCTACAGCAGGCCAACCTCAGGCCATGCTGCCAGGCCATGGGAGCACAGAGAAGTTTATGAATCAGGTCCAGGCCCCACCCCTCCCCCACCCCTCTGCGCACAGCTCTCACAGTCCTTCTGGCCTCCAGATGCACAGTCTGCAAGCTATTTCCCTTTTGTTATTTCAAGCTCGGGGCCTTGATCTTTTGCCACTTTGGAAGGAGCAGAGAAACAAAGAGATCTAGGGCTGTTGCTTAATAGTGATGCTAGCTTCACCCAGCCAGCCTTCATCTATTCCCTGTGCCCTCGCTACCCAGCTGAGCCTTTGAAGAGAGAAAGCAGGCACCCTGAGAGCTGCTCAGCAGCTCCCTCTCCTGTCCCCACAGACCGAGCTCAGCTAGGCTCACAGGGCTCACACAGAGAGGCCTAATGCTCCTCTAAACAGTGGCTGCTGCCAACAGGCTGAGACTTGGCTCCTGCCAAGCCCTCTGGTGTCCGCAACATGTCAGCACAGCAGCAGAGCAGCCTTCGTGCCCTGAGCAGCTGGGGCTGCAGGCCCTTGGCCACACTTCACTCATTCAAGCCCAAAGTGCAGAATCCCCTGCTGTGTGTCAGCCCACCACCCTCCTGCCATTTGCCTGAAGGCTTTGGGCTTGAATGCTTGGCTGGGTGCAGAGACTCACAACACATGTTTGCTAAATGATGGCGATCCCAGCTCTGCTACACCCAGCAAGCACCCTGAGCACCTGCTTTGTGCCAGATGGAGGACATCACCCCCACCTCCACTATAACTAGTGTTTGAAGAAAAAAAAAAAGCTGTGACAGAGACCCTGAGGGAGAAACAAAGAGAGTGTCCCACCCATCAGAGAACTAGTGGGAAGGGCAAGCTGGTGTCCATCCTGAGCATGAAGAAAGAGCGGAGTTTCTCCACGAAGAAAAGGGAAAGCCAGTCCGGGAGGAAAACAAAGCCTTGGGGTGCTGAGTTGGATTGTAAACTCCAGAGAGAGAGAGATGAAAATGCATCCAAGAGTAACGGGGACCCAGTAGAAGAGATCAGGACCCCAGAAGCCCTACAGGGTCCAGAGTAGGGTGTAGGCATAACACAAATGGCAAGAAACCAACGACACCAAATGCTAGGCTCTAATGCTGAGGGCATAGGACAGTGAGGGCAGCCTGACAGCTGTGGAAGACTTGGGGTTCAATGCCCCAGCTTCAGTGATGGCTAGAGAGTCCCTCCAGAAGATGTGCCAAAGTATCAGAGGTGGCATTGGGGAGGGGCTGTATTCAGGGTAATATAACTGCACCAGGGACAGGGTTGAGAAGGCAGATATAAAACTGCAAGGTTGAGCCACCAAGGGTCCAGGGAAGCAACCATATTTCAGAGCTGGGGAAGAAGTAGAAAGACCAGCCAAAGCCAGAAGAGGGTCCTGGGGAAATGCCACAGGAGGACAGGACGCGAGATGCACGGGCCCCCTCAGAAACACTTCCCAGCGTCTGTGCTGCACACCTGTTCCTTGCCTCACATGGTTCAGGTCCTAAGCCTGCATGTTAAGGTCTACAGTCACGCTTTTCCAGGTCCCTTTGGTCTATAGACGATGCTAACTCTCCAGATCAAGGAGATGGGGTCCCAGAATGGGGAGGTCTCTGTCAAGTTCCAACTCTGTCTGTAGCCAACAGAGACCACATTTTTCCTTAGTCTTACTCCCCATTGGATGTGGTAGCAGACGAGCACCTTCCAGAGAGTCAGTGCCAGTAGAAGCCGAAGACAGAAACGAATGTTTTTGCTATATAAGACGGCCCATCACATAAAGGCACTTACCTCCAAGCCTGGAAAGTTGAGCTCCATCCCTGGGCCCCACACGGTAGGAGGGAACCAGCTCCCTTAAGCTGTCCTTTATCTCTTCATATGCATCATGGAATGTGCATGCCCCTTACATGCACATCAATAAATATAATAACAATGTTTGTGCCCTGATTTAAAAAAACATGAGTGTGACCACGCCGGTAATCCTACTTCAGTAACAGCGTCTCCATTTTTACTGTAAACGTCACCACTCTCCACTCACCGCCGTTATCTCCACCGCCATCACCACCACGGCTGGGACTTCGACTTGACCTTCATCCCATAGTGCTTCTGGGGCACAGTGAAAGATTTAGGCGGCGAGGCCTTATGGGAAGAAGCCTGGCCTCAGTTTCCCCAAGTGATAATTAATTAAAAGAAGCAAAGCCTTACTTACCCCAAGAAAGACCTTCAAAGTCAGCTTCCTCCTGTGGTCCCCAACAGGCAGGCTCAGAGGGGGCAAGTCCACCAGGAGGGCAGAGCTGACTGCGGGATCCTCCGAGGTTCTGAAGGTGGGGTGGAATGCAGCTGCTTTGAGGAGTGCGGCTGGGACCAAAAAGGCCTAAAGCGGGTGGAGCCCCATCCCTACCACCAGGGACACAGTCATCCCTGGTGCCAAGCCAGGACTAGAAAGAGCGGACAGCAGAGAAGAAAAGAGGAGAGGAAGGCCTGGGCTGAGAGAGGTCCCATCCCAGGTGCAGGGACAGGAGGGCATCCGGGCACACCAGAGAGCTGGCACACCTCCAGGCGAATTGCTGAGTGGGAATGGGGTGTGTGCAGGGACCAGAGAGCTGACTTCCCATCCAGACTGTGTCTCTGATTCTCAGGACTTCTCTGACTCCCCAGGGCCTTTGGCTTCCTTGTTTTTAAAAGCAAGGCCAGAACTAGACAGACACTGCCATGGTACCTGCAGTTGTGTATGTAGGAAAGGGAGAGGTGCACACATGTGTGCCTTCATGTCTGGAGACGTGTGTGCACACCACTAGGGAGTGATTCAGTAGCTCACCGGAGTCCCAAAGCTGAGCACTGGACAAGCCCTAGTAGAACACTGGTACAATCCCAGTGCTTTCAGCTCGGTGCCCCAGTCACCATGGCCAGCAGGCTCCTAGGGACAGACGGAAGTGGGGCCTTCATAGAACACACCCATCCAGGATGGCAGGGCCTCACAAGATGGTGTCTGGCTTCTTCCAGCCCTCTGCAAGAGAAAGGCCCAAGGTCCTGTTCTAACGCCGTTGATATCTCAGGGACAGCTCCTGATAGGCCAAGGCTCTGAGCCTGAAGTTTGGTTGACAGATTCCTCCGTGTGAAAATAAATAGTGAACAAACCAACTCTGGGAGAAAAGGGCATCTGTGATTTGCCCCATACACGGAAAGGCTGGGGATGTGTGTGGATCTGTGTAAGTGAACACACACACAGAGAGAGAGGGAGAGAGAGAGAGAGAGAGAGAGAGAGAACCCTGCAGTGAGATCAGATCCAGAGATGTGTCTGACAGAAAGTCCCACCCTAATTAAAACAAGCTTCCTGCCTCTCTCATGGGGATTTGGATGACCCTGCAAGATTCCCGTAGTCCGTGTAGACTTGGTTCATTTTTAAGGAGCCAACCATTATCCCGTTAAGGGCTTGTTCATGCTTCCGTCTAAATGCCCCCAGTCCAGGGTGACCTTCAGTTCCCTTAAAACCACCGCAACCCTGCAGGGTTCTGAGGAAATGGCTTTGACTCATGCCAGGCCTCCCCGAAGCCCAGATAGGTCAAGAATTCTTTGTTGTTGAATCTCCCACCTTGTTTGAATGCCTGGCCTGACTTCCTTCAGTGATGAATAGTTATGTGGAAGTGTAAGCCAAATAAACCCAATCCTCCCCAAGTTTCTTTGGTCATGGTGTTTGATCACAGCCATAGTCACCCTAAATAAGACACACCCTAAGACCTACTGACATAAGTCATTTTGTCATGCTTGCCATTCTGTCAGTTGGAAGTGGGACTGGTATCAATGAGGACAGCTTGCCTCTTCCCCCACTGTCCGGAATCCTCACTGGGCTTTCATGGTAGCAGGTGGCATGAACAGCCCCACCACAGCCTTATGTATGGGCCTTGCAGTAGCATCTTGTAGGGCCGTAATTATCAGGATGTGTTTGTTTCCCTGTTTCTGGTGCCTCTCAGGGGGTGACTAGAACAGCCAGGGACTATCCCGAAATTCTTTCTTACCAAGTGGTATGATGGTTTGATGAGAACAGCCCCCATATTTTAATGAACTGTTTGGGAAGGATTAGGAGGTGTTGTCTTGTTGAAGGAGGTGTGTCGCTGGGGGCAGGCCCTGAGGTTTCAAAAGATTTGTGTGATTCTCAGTCTCTCTCTGTCTCTGTCTCTCTCCCTCTGTTTCATGGCCATGGATCAAGGTGTGATCCCTCAGTGACGGTGCCCCTTTGCTCCACCGTCATGGACTCTAACCCTCTGAAATCACAAAACAGATTAACGCTTTCTATTATAGATTGCCATAGCCAGGGTGTCTTACCACTGTGGTAGAAAAGTAGCTAGGAGAAGTGGCTTTTCTGCGTGGCTCTCACGGGTGTCCTCGTTGTGCCGCTGTCTATGCAGATAGACTTGGACCACAGCGGCTCCCTATCCTGACACTTCATGAGTAAGCATTTCAAGAGAGCAAGGAAAAGCCATGGTGTCTCCTCCAATCTGACTTTAAAAGTTGCATGGCATCGAGTGCTCACATTCCATCCACTAGACAGGGCCTTCCAGATTCAAGGGAAAGAACCATGGACCCCTCAGCTCCTAACAAGAGGGATGTTAAAGTTGTGGGCCACTTCTACCAGTCACATTTATTTTTTAAAAAATCACTCAGAAACCAGGGGAAAAGGAAATTATTTCTGATTCTCTGAAGAAAACTAGACTTTTACAATAAACTATATACTCGTAAACAATCAATGGATTAGAGGAAGGGGGGGGATTAGAACACACTGTGGGGTGGGGGGTGAATGATAAAAACACTTCATAACAGTTTTATGGGCTACAGTTGATGCTATATTTAAAGGGATATCTATAGCTATAAAATGACCATATCTCAAAAGAAGAAAAATCTCCAATTAATAACCTAATCTTCCACCTTAAGACACTGGAAAAATGAAACTAAATTTTTATCCAAGCAGGAAGTAGGGAATAATAAACAGAGAGAAGACATGGATCAAATAGAGAATAGAAAGAAAGAGAAGGCAGAGCAAACCGTGAAGCAGAAAGCTGTCTCCTTGAGAAGAATGACATAGTCAATAACTCTTAGCTGAGTAAAAAAAAAAAAAAAAACAGAACTGACTGTTAGTAATGTCATAACCAAAGAGGGGGACGACCACTGGGGCTGGAGAAATGTTAGAAAGGAGAAATGTTAGAAAGGAAAGTTATGGGCAAGCCCGTGACAACAAGGGCTACAACTTTGATGGAGCGTATTAATCCCCAGAAAGACACAAACCACTAAAACATCCAACAAAGCAAGAAGCTGAGCCAGTCACCAAAAAATCTGCCCACAGAGGAAAGCCCAGAGCTAGAGGACTCCACCAAGCACCTAAAGAACCAATTTATCACCAAATCAAAAGAGTGAACACTTCTCAACTCAGACTAGGAGGCCAGCGTTCCTGTAGATAGAAATCTTAAAGTAAGTCCCAAGAAGAGAAAAATACAGACCAATATGCCTTAGGAACCTGGAGTAAAGGACAAACAAGCTGCACGTGCCACATTTAACACTAACTGTGCACACACCATAACCCAGCAATATTTGTTCAAAGAATACAAGGTTGATTCAACATCTGAAAATCAATTGCTATGGTATGTCATATGAATATTATAGAAAAGAAAAATATATGATCATCATTAGACACAGAAAAAAAGGTTTTGATAAAAATTCAACACATTTTCATGATGAAAAAAAACCTTACAAACTAGAACTTTTCCCTGAAAGGGATTTTCACCAAAACTCGATAGTAAAAGAGTGAACTGATTCTCTCTCAGACTTGGAAGGAAAAGATGTTTGCTCTTGACACATCTAGCCAGAGCTGCACTTGAGGTTCCAGCCAGGGCAGTTAGAAATAAGTTAAGATTGGAAGGAAGAAGTAAATTATCTCACTTCACAGACTACATTATTTTATTAGTAGGAGCCCTAAAGAATCTTCTGGAAGAAAAAACTAAGAAGACAGCTTCATGTACAATAATTTGAAAGTGAATGTTCTGAGTGAACAGGCCGTGGTGGTGCACACCTTCAATCCCAGCATGCAGGAAGCAGAAGTAAGAGGATCTCTGAGTTTGAGGTCAGCCTGGTCTACAGAGTGAGTGCTAAGACAGCCAGGGCTACACAGAGAGACCCTGTCTCAATAAACAAAAAGAACAAAGAAACAAGAGGGAAGAAAGAGGGAAGGGAGGGATGAAGAAAGGGAGGGGGAGGAAGGGAAGAAAGAGAGGGAGAAAGAGAGAGAGAAGGATACTTAACTTGCTTGCTTCTTCACTGTCTTGCTGGCTTTTTATACTGAAGATTATACCTAAGGCCCTGAGGTTACTGGGCAAGCTTTCTGCCACTGGACAAATCCCAGCCTGAGGACTTTCTTTAGTGTAGATACAAAGCAATGGGCTTGACTGTAACATTTTCATGCATGGTTTTATGAACTTTGGTCATATTAACTCCTTTGGAGATATTTAAGATTCAAACTACAGAAGATTATATCCAGAAGCTGTAAAACAAACAAAAACACTTATTTTTACTGAAAATAGAGTTTTCTCTCATACAATACATCCTGATCCCAGTTTCCCTTCCCTCCACTCCTCCCAGGTCCCCACCCCACCCCCCTCTCTCCCTCCAGATCCACTCCCACTCTGTTTCCCTTCAGAAAAGAGCAGGCCTCCCAGAGAGAACAACCAAACATGACAAAACAAGATATAATAAGACAAGATGAAAGCCCTCATATCAAGGGATAAGGCTACCCAATAGGGGGAAAGGGGTCCCAAGAACAGGCAAAAGAGTCAGAGACACACCTGCTTCCACTGTTACAAGTCCCACAAAAACACCAAGCCAGCAGGCATAGCATACACAGCGGACCTGGTGCAGACCCACACAGGCCCCATGCTTGCCGCCTCAGTCTCCGTGAGCCCGTGTGAGCCCTGCTGAGTTGATTCAGTGGGCCCTGTTCTCTTGGTGTCCTTCACCCCCTCTTCTTCAGAAGTGTTACTGTAATACTTCTTACAAAATCTTTATAAAATGGCAACTAGCCCATCTTAAAGACAGTCAGAGAGACTAGCAGTGTAGCTCAGGGTAATGCTTGTCTCACGTGTGTGAGACCTTGAATCCCATCCTCAGCACCACTGGGGGAAAAAAACACACATACCAAGATGAAGACATGTTTCCCAAGAAGGCTAGACAAGTGGCCAGTAAGCACATGAAGAGATGACCAGCAGCACCTGTCACCAGGGAAATGCAAATATGTCACCTTCGTGCCCTCCTCCAATCCACCTGCCTCCACTCACGCTGGACTGCCTCCAGGTTTTGTTGGGCTGCTGAAACAGGGAGCAACAATGAGAGAGATGCTAAGGAGCTCTTGGTACTGCTTAATGTAACTCACCCTGTGCAACAAGACAAGCCAGGGCAGAAAACCGCAGCCACAATCCACCTTCATGCTGTAGAGACATGTTGGGGGACACCACTGTCACCTCGAGGCTGGGAGTACAGGAGGTGAGAGCCCTTGGATGGGAATCATTGACTCGGGAGCTATATAGCATCCCCAGGAATCTGAGGAATGTTTCCTTCCCTGCTACACAGTCTGGACTTTAATATACTCTCCACCTAAATGCCAAAGCATCCGTTCACATTCAGCAGGCTCTCAAGCAAAGTCCTTAATAAGCTTTGGGTGTTAATACCCAGTGCAATAAATGAGACTCGATCACATGAGGTGTTGAGAATGGGGAAGTTCAGCCTTTCCAGGCACCAGCAGTATGACACAGCTGTGGGGACAAGGGCCCAGGACTTGTTCCCATAGGTCAGTCTACTTACACCAAATGCATGTTCCCATCTGGAGCTCAGAAATCCGAAGTCTGTCTTCCTGGGCTAAAATCAAGTCCCTTCCTCTCTTTCCTGCCTTCTAGAGGACGCTCCATTGAGGACACCCCCTATCCCAGGACCTCAGTTAGTCACATCTGTAATGACCCCACCATGGTGTCATGTGTGCCTGCCTGCCCCCTCCTAATTCACACCTTCACTTCTATTCTAGTTTTGTGTCTGCTACCGCCATAAAATATCTTGACAAAAAGCAATTTAGGGAGAGGGGTTAATTTGGCGTAGAATGCCAGGTTGCAGTCCATCGTAGCAGGGAAGTGATGGTAGCCAGAGCCTGAACCAGCTAGTCACATCCAGTCAAGAGCAGAGAATATGTGCACGCTGCTTGCTTGTATGTGCTCAGTTCTCTCTCCAATCTTATGCATTTCAGTGTCAGGTCTAAAAGAAACCTGGGACAGATAGCTAACTCTGGCGCCTGTCCTCTCCAACCTTATGTACTTCGGTGTCAGGTCTAAAAGAAACCTGGGACAGATAGCTAACTCTGGCGCCTGTTAGCGTACCAAAGCGCCTGCTGACTTCCTGGCACTCTCAGCATTGCAAGTTCCTGTTACAGAGTCCATCCTTGCTCCTCTCAGCTCTTCTTG